TTTCGTTGGTTGCAGCTTCAGTCGGCCCTACCATAAGGGTGCCCCTGTAGGGTCTGTTCACGTCGCTGATGGGGGGACCCAGGCCTCCATACCCTCCTTTCTGGGTTTAGCTTCCGGAAGCCTTGTTCTTGTGGGGAGAGCCCTTTCTAGACCTCTCCTTAGCCGCTCGGATAACTTTTTAGATGACCCCTGGCTTCCCTCCCCGGTCTTCGTAGACGCTCGACGATTTGCAAACCTTCCCTAGACCCTCAGTCCTTGCGGCGCCTCCCGGTCCCGGGGTGGTGGGCTAGGGTGTGCAAGGACTCCGCCTGCTATCCGCTCTGCAGGTTTATGAGTAACCTGGTTGAGTCCAAGGCCGGACTTGCCACGTTTCAGGATCTTCGCCCAGGCTTGGGGGCGGGGGATATGGCTCAAGTGACTTCGCCGTACGGGGCGCAAAGGTCAGGGGTCTAAGCTGCACCTCAGCGCCCCGAGCCCGCGCTCCCTTAGAAGTGCTTCTAGCCCTGGCCGGTGTGGCGCAGTGGTTAGAGCGTCCGCCCGCTCACGGAAGGGTGGGGGTTCGATTCCCGGTCTAGAGCGCGTACGTTGGTTGCTGGTTCGAGCCCCGTGCCTATGGGGCGGGTGCGGGAGGCAACCAATCCACGTGTCTCTGTCACATCGATGTTTTTCTCTCTTTCTCTCCCTCTCCTTCCCTCCGCTCCACGCTCTCTAAAAATCAATGGAAGAAACATCCTTAGGTGAGGATTAACAACAACAATAAAAATAAGTGCTTTGAGCTGTCCCTGGCCTAGAGTCCCCTAAGGACAGGGAGGGGAGGACATTTAATATCCCTGGGCTTTCCCTTCTGGGCCTCACTCTCCCTGGGAGTGCCAGGGTGTAGTCAGTTCTTTGGGTGACTGTCACTGGTCTGTAGACTGCTAAACCCCAGTTTCTCTCTGGTCACCAGGGCTGCTTCAAGAGTGTTTCACTTGTACAATCCAACCCACGCTTATTTTACTACTGATAATAGCAATACACTGTAAACAAATATACCCCAATATGGGATGGAAGTGGTTAAATAAATTATGGTCCATGTGGTAGGACACAGACATACCCGGCAAGATATTAAAATTATGTAGTCTTCTATTTTTATGCTATGGAAAACTGTTCAAGTTGCATTGTTATGTTTTAAAAATAGTTCTGGTGGCATATTGTGGTGGATGCAAAAACAATATAGTTTCAATTTTGCATAAAAAAGTATAAAAATACCCAGGCTTATTATACCATTAAACAAATAACAAAATGGAAAAGGCCTTGCATGAATTAGTAACAAAGGTATAGCATGAACATTGCATTATGATTAAAACAACTGGAGCACCCGAAGTCCACAAAAAACCAGAAACTGTTAACTCATCTTAATAATGCATTTTTTGACGACCTCTTTCCTCTTCTTGGTCTCTTCTCCTTAGCACTTATAAATCCAGTTTAAAACTGAATGAAATCCAATATCAAACCTTTGAAATATGTAACTTGTACATTATTGAATAAACATGAAAGTCATGGAAATGTAAAAAAATTTCTGAGGTTTAATTATCAAAATGAGTCTTTTCTCTTTTTAAAAATATGTTTATGTTGATTTTAGAGGGAGGAAGAAAGAGGGAGAAACAAACAATGTGAGAGAGAAACATCAATCCTACCTCCTACATGGACCTTACTGGGGATGGAGCCCACAACCTGGGCATATGCCCTGACTGGGAATCGAACCAGCGACCTTTTGATGCAAGGGACAACACTCAACCAACTAAGCCACACTGGCCAGGGCAAAATGAGTCTCTGAATCCACTGATTGAATTTTTTTTTTTTTTTTAATCCTCACCTGAGGATATTTTTTCCATTGAAATTTTTTTATTTTTTTATTTTTTTAATTTTTTTTTACAGAGAATGGAAGGGAGGGGAAGAGACACAGAGAGAAATATCGGTGTGAGAGAGGCATTGATGCCTGCAACCTCATCACGTGCCCTTGGCCGGAATCAAACCCGGGATCCTTCAGTCCGAGGGCTGACGCTCTAACCACTGAGCCAAACCAGCTAGGGCCCACTAATTGATTTTTGTATGTAAGATTTTTTTAAGGCTATGAACTTTATTATGTCACTTGTGACTTATAGTATTTTAAAAATGAACAGTTTATCTATAGGGTATACTATGTGTTCCATTGAAAGAAAATGGCATTTCTTTTTTTATTATTACAGTTTACATTCATTATTATTATGTATTAGTTTTAGGTGTACAGCATAGTGGTTAGACATTTATATAACTTACGAAGTGATCCCCCTGATAAATCTAGTATCCATCTGACAGCAAACATAGTTATTACAATGTAATTGACTATATTCCCTATGCTGTACTTTATATCCCTGTGACTATTTGTAAGTACCAATTTGTGCTTCTTTTTATTTTATTTTATAAATATATCTTTATTGATTTCAGAGAAAGGAAGGGAGAGAGAGAGATAGGAACATCAATGATGAGAGAGTCGTCACTGATCGGCTGCCTCCTGCACGGCCCCTTCTGGGGATCCAGCCTGCAACCTGGGCATGTGCCCTGACTGGGAATTGAACTGCGATCTCCTGGATCCTAGGTCAATGCTCAACTGAGCTACACCCATCTGGGCCAATCTGTGCTTCTTAATCACTTCACCTTTTTCACCCAGTCCCTCAACACCCCTTCCCTCTGTCAACAGTCTGTTCTGTGTATCTATGAATCTGTTTCAATTTTGTTTGTTCATTTATTTTGTTATTTAGATTCCACGTGTAAGTGAAATCATATGGGATTTGCCTTTGTCTGACTTATTTCACTTAGCTAATATCCTGTAGGTCGATGCATGCTGTCGTAAATGGTAAGATTTCATTCTTTTTTATGGCTGAGAATATTCCATTGTAGATATGTAGCATACCTTTAAAAAATTTTTTTGTTGTTAATCCTCACCTGAGGATATTTTTTTCTGATTTTTGGAGAGAGTAGAAGGGAAGGAGGGAGGGAGGGAGGGAGGGAGAGAGACATCTATATGAGAGAGACACATCAGTTGGTTGGCTCCTGCACTCACCCTGTGCCCTCGATGGGGAATTGAACTCAAGACCCTTCTGTGTGTGGGCTGATGCTCTACCACTGGGCTGCATTGGCCAGGGCAGTCTTTAATCCAGTTTTAAAAAAATATGGACCGCTTCATGAATTTGTGTGTCATCTCTGTGCAGGGGCCATGCTAATCTCTGTATCTTTCCAGTTTTAGTGTATGTGCTGCCCAAGTGAGCACAGTCTTTAATCCATTTTGAATTTATTCTTGTATCTGGTGTAAGAAGGTGATCCAGTTTCATTTTTTTTTTTTTTGCATGTATTTGTCCAGTTTTCCCAGGACCATTTATTGAATAGATTGTCTTTACCCCATTGTGAAAATGGCATTTCTTTAAAAATAATTATAATTAAGTCAGTTTGATAAGCTCTATTGGCCTATACTCTCAGGATTTTGCAATTTGGTGTGTTGCTTGGTGACAGTTTGTCAAGTGATTTTCATTTGGGCAGCTCTACTTTCCCAGCTACACTAAAAGCCACTGAGAGGCTTTCTACCTTTAGCACCCATTTTAGGACCAGTTCTGGTAATTGCAAAGTAAATGTCAGCTAGTTGACTGCCTGTCTGACCTGCCTTGGGGTTTCCTGCTCATTAGTATCTCCACTAGAGGGCAGGCTGGGCTAAAGAGGAGAGAGGAAAGCAAATTTTTCTTTCTCTGGCAGATACTGCCCTCCCACTTTGAGATCCCATCTCCTAACCTGGTGACTGCACAGAGCTCCTGGGACACTTGTACAGCTCCAGGCAATGGAAGGGAAAATTTCTGAAGTGACTGATGATGTGTTTTCACGTTATCTTCTTGCAGCATTCTCTTTGTAGAGGAAAGGGGGAAGTATGGTAATTTACCCAGGACTTAAAATGTGTTGACTATAAAGCAATTGAGTAATGATAGGTTTTATAATACTTTCATGTCCCGTGTTCTTGAGAACCAGAATTTTTTGTGTGGCGGACAGGAGGTACAGATGTGATATAGAAGTAGTTAAAAATCCTTGAGCCCTGAGTTTGAATAGGAACTATCAGTATGAACTTATGTGATGTTTTATTTTTCGATCCCTATCTACTGAAAAGGTCTAGAAACAATGATTAGTTCAGTATCAATGAATACTCCTTCCACCTATGTCTTAAAATACCACTTCCCACAGAAAGAAACCAGAGCTTGGAGAAATGGCTGCTTCTAGGTCTGGGGCAGGAAATGTACAAGATGAACACGGAACAACTTATCATACCAGAGAACAAAGAAGCCAGCAAACACTATCAGGGTAATGTCAAAAGGACTCAGGAGCCTAGTTCTCATGGCCAAAGATGGGACAAGTTGAGCATAATAAGGATAATTTAATAAACATTATGTTTAGGAGGCTTAGCTGGGTAGCTCAGTTAGTTATAGAGTGTTGTCCTGATAAGCCAAGGTTGTGGGTTCAATCCCCAGTTAGGGCACATACAAGAATCAACCAATGAATGTATAAATAAGTGGAACAACAAATTGGTGTTTCTCTGTCTCTCCCCCTTCCTCTCTAAAAAATCAATAAAAAAATAAATAAACATTATGTTTACATCCATGAGTTCATAATGGGGTTTGTGTGTGTGTGTGTATGTATGTATGTAACTAATTGGTCACCTTTTTGAAGGATAAGAAAACAAATCATTATTGTGAAGATAGTAAATAAAGAAAAAGAAGCAGTTATATTGCTATTCCTATATAAACTGTATCCCAGGGTAATGTGTAGAAGATAAAGGGAGTGTCCCTTTGTAAAAGTATTACAACTATTATGACAGAGCTTAGATATGGCTGCTTTGAAATCCCTAATAAATTAATGAGTCTAAGCATTGAACATCTAGGCCTGGATTCTTCAGTAGTTAAATTGAAGTAAAAGAAAGGAATGGAGGGGGAACCTCTAGATTGAAAGATATTTAAAAAGCATATGAAATTTTTGAAAAATGGGCAAAGCTAAACTATAATGTTTAGGGATCCACATTTGGGTGATAAAACTACAGAAAAATATATATATTAGCAAGCAAGGAAGAGATTATGGTGTACCATAGTACTCATTTATGCCAGGAAGGAGGGACTGTGACAGAGATGAACATGGTGAGGAGGTGTGTGTGGTGGTGGTGATGGGGGGCTACTTTTGGTGTCTGGCAAAGTTCTGTTTCTTTCTCTAGGTGATAGTTTCAAGGATATTTACTTTAGTTTATTAAGTTATACCTTGTTTTGTTTTTATGTATTTTAAAATAAAAAGGGTAATTAAAATGCATTATCTATTATCATTTATCTGGAGCTATAGGCATGCAGCCCAATTTTATTCTAATTGACACAATAATTTTTAAGACTAACATCTTCACATCACTGTGCATTTAGATACCAGAACGATATCTGGAACTCCAGTTCCCTGCCTCTTTCCTGGAGGGACTTACTTCCTAACCAATTTTCTTTCTCCTCTAAAATTTATTTACATTGCTCATTTTACTCTTAAACTGTAGAGTCAGCAATATATAATATAGGCTTACATGGCCTAATCTAATCAATATATAGTGGAAAGGTGAGGGCAGCTAACATACATTCAAAGGTTACTCCATGCCAGGTATAGTTCTGAGTGTCTGGCACCACTGACTTAATTTTAACAATACTGTAAGGTGTAGGCACATCTGCATTCTACAGATAAAGAAACCAAGAGGCACCCCTGGCTTGAGTCTACTGTGTGCCTAACATCTGGTATGCTGCCTCAGATCATATTGTTTCAGTCATCACATGCTATTTATGAAGCTGACAATTTGCATATGAAGCTGAGAATTTATGAAGCAGAGACATGTATCTGCAGTTATCACTTACCCTTGGCTCTACTCTTTACTGTGTGGCCTTGGGTAATTATTTAACCTCTCTGTAAGTACAATGGACTCCATTGCTCACTGTATTTTAGCATGTGATCCACTCTGACCTTTAGAGTTTTCTGCTCTTACACATTGTAGCTGGTTATTGCTGATTTCTAGAACACTTGGTGTTTCCTCCTCTTGTGTTTTCTTTTGAGGAAATCCCCAGTAATTCTGTGTTGTTTGTTGAAGTTTATTCTTATTTTCTATGTACAGACTTCCATCTTACCAACCTCAATTTATAGTCATTCAGCCTGATCCAGATCAAGGTGAGGTTATCTTTAGCTGATGCCCCTGATTTATGTAGGGTCATCACTCTTTTTGTAGTTTCCCTCTAAAATTGATTTCAGAGTTTAGGCCAAGGCCTTGTTATTCAAACTTTGGTCCCTGGACCAGCAGCATCAGCATTACTCAGGAGCTTGTAAGAAAAACAGAATCTCCAGGACACCCCAGACTTGCTGAATGAGAATCTGCATTTTAGTAAGATCCCCAGGTGATTCATATGCACTTTAAGTTTGTGAAGCATAAATAAGTAGCTTCTAAGATCCTTATAGTTCTATAAGTCTAGGCTGCTATCAGAGACATGTCTCTGCAGTTATCATTTACCCTTGGCTCTACTCTTTACTGTGTGGCCTTGCGTAATTACTTAACCTCTCTGTACCTTTGTTTCTTCTTCGGTAACCTGCCTCAAAGAGTTGTTTTGTATGTGCTTAGGACAGTGCCTGGCACATAGAAAGTGCTATAGAAGTGTTAGTTGTCCTAATACTGAATAAGCTTTCATGAATACTTTGCGAGTCCCAATTTCAGGTCAGGCAGAAGGAAGAACAGTTTTGAGAATCCACAATGGAACTGCATCACTGGAGAATAGAGGCTTCTGCTAGTCTGAGTAGAAGATCAGGAATTTTAGGCCTGGAGGCTATACTGAGCAGCTCGCAGAGGCCCCCACCTTTTTAAGACCTCAGGACACAGAGTAGATAGAGCCTTCTCCCAGCAGTTCCTACTTAGATGGTAGAGCTGCCTGTAGTACACCAGTTGCTTGCAGGGGTAGGAAGAAGATTGTGAAATTGGTGTTAGAGGGAAGCCTGTGAAGATAAACGGGAAATGAAAACACAAATGTTATGTAAAATAAATGAGCATCTTTTATTATTGGATAGCATGTGAGGAAACGCCTGTGGCCTGGTCTCAGGGCACCCAGAAGATGTTAGTTTTATCAAATTGCTCATATTTTCTGCAAGCCTGGTTGCTCTCCAGTTCCTAGCTGGTGGTAGCTGGTGGGGGATGCTATGCTTTCTGGCTAGTCTGGAGCCTCAGGTCACATTCTGCGCACACGTCCCTCCAGGGCCTCCAGCTCAGTCAGTACCTCCTTGGGCAAATCCTGGTTGACCTGCTCTGTCAGGTAGCTCCTAATTTCACGAACCTCCTGTTCCCAGAAGTCCTTAGGGAGCGAGAACAGCTGGGTGGTATCTATGGCTCCCAGGCCGCTGAGATCCAAGGCGCCTTCCTTTGGCACCAGCCCAATGGGCGTCTCTCGGGCACTGTCCTCCCCCTCTAGCCGCCGGCAGATCCAGTCTAGCACTCGAGCATTCTCTCCAAAGCCTGGCCACAAGAAGCGCCCAGCCTCATCACGCCGGAACCAGTTGACATGGAAGATGCGAGGCAGCCGGGCCCCCTTGCGCCCTTCCATGCTCAGCCAGTGTTCTAGGTAGCGCCCAAAGTTGTAGCCAAAAAAGGGCCGCATGGCAAATGGGTCATGCATGATCATCTTCCCTGGGGAGAGGAGAGGATGGGTAAGGAAACTTCCTCCTTACTGGAAAAGAGACGAGCCACCCAGCATCCAGCTGGAGGAAGTTGTAAAATGTTCATGGTTCTGGAATATCCCCAGGGCAGGATGAAAAGGGATGGGGGAAGGGCTGGGCAGGAGGAAGGTCTGGCTCAGGCAGGGAGAGAAGAGGCAATGTGGGCACACGGGAGAGGGACAATGGAAGGTGCGTACCTTTGTGTTCAGCCGCAGCAGTGGACTCAGAGCGCATGGCGCTGCCTACAAACACTCCGTGGCGCCAGTTGAAGGCCTCGTATACCAGGGGCACTCCTAGAACACCAGTGAACGGGGCCACTCATTCCATCCTTTCTGGTGAATCTAATTCCTAATCTCTCTCCTAGGCCTCAGCTGTCCCATTTTCAAACCTTATGCCTCCCCCCAATTTTGTATTCTCCAGGGGAGAGCTATGGAGACAGACAACTATGGTTGGCAACCCTGAGCTTTAAGGACAAGAGGGAGGTGAGCCTTGATGTAGACCCAGATCCTTTACTGAGAAGGCATGGAGCCCACACAATGTTTACCTTTGGGTCTGCGGCCTCCAAAGATGATGGCATCAATGGGGACACCCTCTGGGGCTTCCCAGGCAGGGTCCATGATGGGGCACTGGCGAGCCGGGGCACAAAAGCGAGAGTTGGGATGTGCACAGGGCTCCTTGTCACCTGGCAGAGGAAATACAAATACTACCACTTCCAAGGGCACATCCACCCCCAACACACATGCATGCAATCTTGCACAATTTATTTTTGCCTCATCAGCTCCCTACAACCTCATGTGGTAGGGAGTACGGAGTCAGGACATCTCCCCTAAAAGATCAGGTTATTTATCCATAATGGTACTAACAGCTGAGCTCTGTGAGAAGAGTGGGAGAGGAATTGGGGTTCAGCAGGGCACTAATGTTTATGCCAAACTATAGCCATGTGACATTGACCAGTGCTCAAAGGAATGGGGTTAGATGTTGGCATAATTTCCCCCCAAAAAATGATTTATTTATGGGATATTATTTAAATAAACACTCAAACCTAGAGCAAAACCTGAGTCTGTCTGGTGAGTAATTCAGACAATTGACTTTTTATCAGCAAATGCAAGAAGACAGAATCTCCTGAGCTATCAAAATGCAAATAGGAAATGATTTTAAAGCTAACAGAATTTTGGTGATTTCCCTGGGTCTGCCCAGTCCCTAATGGAGTGATAAGACTTGAAGAACTCAGACAAAGATATAACTTGAGCAGGTGGAACCTGAGAAGCCCAGGTCATTTGGCCCTTTCGGGTGCCCTGGAGACAGTTTGGGACAGATGTGTAAGGGGCAGATGTGTAAGGCATTATCATGGGCACACCAAATGAACATGGTGCCTTCTCTGCTGGAGGTTGCTGGTTAGACCTAGGGGACAAGGGAATCAAAGAGCCAGTTACCCCTGCCCTCTTGCCACCCCCCATCTCCTGCCTCCATTCTCAGAGAAGAGCCATCCTTTACCCTTCTCTCTCGCACTTTCATCAGCCCATAATTCAGGTCCCTAGCACAGGGTGTTATTCTGGGAACTGAAACTGGGCACAGCATGCCCTAGTTATACCCCTGAATCCAGAGATGATGAAAGGGTTGGGAAATTAGTCTGTAGGGAAATATAAAGTTTTCTTGGATTTCTCAGTGGGGTAGGAAGGCTGAGGAGGGCTTAATGATGATGTTAGAGAAAAAAAGGGTGATTAGATGAGGAGGGCAACTGCTAGGTCAGCCTGGAAAACTTGAATATAGGCTTCAGAGACCAAAGGGCCACCCTCCCCCATCATGCTCTTCTTTGCTCCCATTCCTAGGTGTCTGGGCTCTCTGACTGCTGAAGGCCACTGAAAGCTGAAGGTCAGAGTGCAGGGTTGGGGGAGGGGGCAGGATTGCAAGGTATGGGGAGAATTGACAGGGTTGAGAAACTAACTTCTAGGAGAGGCTAAAGAACTGGTCTGATTTGGTCTGGAAGAAGAATTAGACTGTGTAAGTTGGAGAGAGAGGAAGGGTGAGGGTAAAAATACTGACCTTTAGACATTGGTTATTATACAGGGGGATGGTGAGAACCAAGTGGCAGGGGGAAGGGCAGGCTTCCTCCTTTCCTGATAGGTCAGACTTTATGGATTATGCTGTGAGCCCTATTCCTTCTGTAATAATTTTCAAAACAGTCCTTCTCTTTCCTTTTAAAAAAATATTCAGCTTATATTTATTGTGGATGTACTATGTGTTCGGTACTGTGCTAAAACCCTTTATATACATTTAATCCTTGAACAACCTTGTGATAGGTGCTACCCCCATTCAACTGATGGGGAAACCGACACTCAGGAGGTTAAGCAATTTAGCCAAGTCCAAAGCCAGTACTTAGTGGAGGTGGGATATGAACTGAATCTTTGCCTGGGATTGGAAACTGCAAACAGTCATAACTTCCTGTGCCTCCTGAAGGTCCTAGAAGATGGCTGTAGGTTGTGTAGGCTTTTATATCATCAAGGTACTGAGCCCTGGGAGCTGTGTCTTGACTCCCCTGCCCCACATACCAGGTTTCCAGGCCTTGCCCAGCCAGGAGGTGACAGTGACGCCAGGTGGAAGAGGCTGGTCAATGCCTTCCCAGTACACGCCACCGTCACTGGTCTCAGCAACATTGGTGAAAAGAGTGTTACTCTGGATTGTGGCCATGGCATTGGGGTTGGTGGTGGCAGAGGTGCCAGGGGCCACCCCGAAGAAGCCATTCTCAGGGTTGATGGCCCGGAGTCGACCTGTTAGGAGAAGTGAAAAAAAGGAAGGACCAACCAGGAAAAGTTGAGCGGTGAGCCAGGGAAGGTCCTGCTCTGCTCCTCTCTGCCCTGAGCTGGACCCTACATCTAGTGGGGAAAGGCTTTGTGTCTCTGCCAGGCTTTTTGGGGCAAGGTTGACTGTTCAAGAAAAGCTTCTTACTGACAAAACTCACCATGAGCAGTGGAGGGGAGACCTCTATGCTCTGGTAAAAGCCAAAACCAAGAGTATAATCCAAGGGCCACTCACCATCACTGTCAAACCTCATCCAGGCGATGTCATCCCCCACACACTCCACTTTCCAGCCTGGCAATGCTGGCCGCATCATGGCCAGGTTCGTCTTGCCACAGGCACTGGGGAATGCAGCTGCCACATAGCGCTTCTTCCCTGCAGGACTGGTGATACCCAGGATCTGCATGTTGCAGAGAAAGGGAATAAGGAGGAGGCCACCAAAGGTCAGGGCATGGTCTGCATGGGAAGGACAGCTACCAGTTAACAGGGAAGACTGATGTTTATTTACCTAAGAGGTGCACCGCCTTGCCACTGGGCCAGGGGTGGCAGCAAGGGGAAGCCCCCAACATTCAGCAGCCTGGGGTCAAAGCTTTGGGCTTTGGGCAGAGACCCTGCCCACCAGCCTGGCACCTGGCAGCGGGGAGGCGAGGTGATGCTGAGGCAGACTGGCCAGGCCCCACCACTGCCTTGTCCCCACAACTAACCCAATCCTCACCAGGCCCTCACCAGCATGTGCTCCGCTAGCCAGCCCTCATCCCTGGCCAGCCGAGAGGCGATTCGAAGGGCAAAGCACTTCTTGCCCAACAGGGAGTTGCCACCATAGCCGCTGCCGAAGGAGACGATTTCCCGCTGGTCGGGCACATGGCCAATCAGGGTTTTCTCTGGGTTGCATGGCCACTGGCTCACCGGCTCCCCTAGGGACAATGGGGTCACAGGGCTGCTGGCAGGGGCATCGGGAACTGGGGTGTCAGGGGCTGGAGGGGTCAGGGGTTGGCAGGAGAGACACTTGAGAGCAGTCGTGGTGCCAATGAGTGGCTGAAGCCCCCCACCTCATAGTATCCATCAGCTCTCATGCCCGTATTCTTAGATGTGGATAGTTGGCTTTCTCAATCTTGTGCAAACTGCTCTGCAAACAGCCTCACCCCCAACCTAGACTGCTGGCCTGGATCTGGGGAATTAGGTGTCTCATTAATTAGGATGGGTAAGATTTGGGGTTCCCTCTGAGTGTGAGCAGGCCTCTGCGTCTTCCCATGGATAGCGCAGGATCTCACCTTGCCCAGTCAGGGGCTGGCCCACAGAGTGCAGACACTTGACAAAGTCACCATCTCCCAGGGCCTGAAGCACAGGCGTCCCCAGCCGGGTCATAATACGCATGCTTGCCACCACGTAGGCAGAGTCAGTGAGTTGCACTCCGATGCGGGACAGTGGGGAGCCCACAGGACCCATGCTGAATGGAAGCACATACATGGTTCGGCCTATGGAGGAAAATGTCACCTGGATGACGGGTTCCAGACTGTTTATATCATGAGTGCCCTTGCCTCTGTGTCCCTGCCCTGGTTACCCCGCATGCAGCCTGGAAACCTCTCATCCACAGCTTGCTGGAACTCAGTTGGGGACATCCAGTTGCCCAGCTGCCCACGGGCCCCACCAGCTGGGAGGGGCACTGTGTCTCGTTGAGAAGGAGTTACAATCACCGTCTTGCTCTCTACTCGTGCCACATCCTTGGGGTCTGTGCGGGCCAGCCAGCTAGGGGAGAGGGGATTATCAGGAAGATGGGGGCCAGCAGATCTTTCTCATTCCCAGACCACTCTTTCAAGTTCAACTTTGACTCTAGGTCTTCTGCTTTCCCCCCATCCATTTGCACCTGTCTCTTTCTCCAGGTTTTGTCCCATTTCAGAGGAAACATGTAGGTATGCGGATGTTATTGCAGACTTAGCCCAAGCCCATATTTAACTAAGTAGTTCTCTTGGCCCCAGCCCTCTAAAGGCCTCTTCTCCTGGCAAAAACTCCCTGAACTTGTGGGAAAAAAAAAAGAAAAAAAAAAAGTTTTTATTTGTATCTGCTTCTTTATTTAACATAAAAATACAGACCATTCCTAGTAACTCCTGACTTTGTTTCCTCTAAAGCTCCCATTCTTGCTCATTCCACTGAGATGGTTTAGTTAAATATGATTTTGTCTTGGTAAAGACAAAGAGGCTTCAGTCCAAGCAGCTACTGCCATCTTGTGGGTCACAGGGTTTAGGGCTTACCAGTTATTGTACTTGGGGAGCTTTCGGATGAGTCCCTGCTTCTCCAGCAGGGTCAGTGTGGCAGAGTTCTCGGCCTCAGTCCCATCACAGATGTGGATGCCCTCTGGTTGGCACAGGCGTGCACTGCGCTCCACAAAGTCTCGAACCCCAGTAGGCAGCTGGCCCAGATCTCCACTGAGTACTCGCAGGGTCTGGATGCTGCGCCTCGATGACCAGCCACAGGGGCTCAGCCTATGCCAGCTAAACCTGTGAGAGAAAAAAACAGAGGTAGTGAGCCAGGTACCTGTTCTCATGGAGGATGGGCAAGTCAAGAGGATAGGAAGCTGGGGCTGCTAGGAAGCTGCTAAAGAAGTTCCTGGTGCAGATCCCATGAAGAGCAGGTTCAAGTAGATGTGTGGAATGGGTTCAGGCCACATGTATCTTGTGGCCTTTATGAGGCTTAATGAGGGTGTATCCTGGTAAGCAAGGGACAGGTATTGTCAAATGACCATAAAGGCCGTGTAGAAGAATATGTATAGGCATGCTGATGTTATTGTAGGCTTAGTTCATGCCCATGTTTAACTAGGTCTGGTCAATGTTTAGAAATGAACTGGTACCCTACCTCCCAAGTATTGATAAACTGTGCCTAGGTGACAGCTTCATGTGTTTGGTATTAGAAGCTCTCATCCCTGTTGTTTCCATTCTCAAGTCTAGTTTTTTAAAAGTTAAAAAGGCAGCTATTTTTACTTTATTTCTTCTGGTGCATATGCTGTAAGACTGTGAAAACATCATGCAAAGAACTTGTTCTTTGAGAGGGTACAGAGTGCCAGGTTTCTAGATTAGCACTCTTGCACAGAGAGTAGGTGATTGGATGTTGGGGTTTCAGGCATCAGATCTGCTGCCGCCACCTGGTCCAAAAGGATTGCAAAAATGTTGCCATTGGGTAGGTACTTTTGAACCATGTGAAAGGCTGACTATTGGGAAATATCACTGGCTGGGGTTCATGCCCCGATTCTCAGGAGGGCAGAGTCCCTGTTGTCTGTCCCTTCATATCCCTGGGAGAGGGAGAAGCAGGGTCTGCTCTGATTGGCCTGGACCCAGAGTGGAATAAGCCAGAGAGACCAAAGGCCAAGAAAGAGAAGTTGCCCTCCTATGCCAGGGAGGCATAGGAAAATGTGCCCCCATACCTAGGAGCACGTGATCCTATCCTTCCCCTGGCTCTCCTTCCTACAGGACACATGCCTAGAGAGCTTTGGGTACTGGTGGTAGGGTGCAACAGCAGACTGCAGGAAGCTCAAATTCAGAGGGTGTAAACCTGGGGAAGGGAGAAATCTCAGACTATAGATGTGGGAGCTGGAGCCTGGATGGAGTGGGAACTGGGGTGGCTTCCACTGGGCAGAGTGAGATGGAAACCCAGTGTTGTCCCAGGGGCAGAGGAGGAGGGTGCCTGGAACCTGGATCTATTGTTGCCTCAGAGACAAGTTTTCCCTGAGCACTAATTTTAAAGATACAGTCTTTGGGAGAGCCTCTCTCCATGGGGAGCCTGGCTCAGGAAGTCTGGGGAAGCTCCACCACTCCCTTCCAGTCCCTTAAGTAGGACCTTCTCTTTTTCTTCTGCTCCAGAGACCACTTATATGGACGACCAGTTGGAACCAGGTGTGGGTAAAATATGGGGTCAGCTTGGATTCTGGAACAAAATCTGGGGAGAAGGGAGGCTATAGAGCTAAGACAGGAAACTATGAAAAGGGGAAGGCAGACAAGCAGGGCCTAGGCTCTCCTGTGATGGACGAGACAAAGCCAGCCATTTAGAAATGGAAGGCAACTTGACTCCCTCCTCTACCTTCTTCGCCTTCTTCGCCTGGCCCCGGGTCTCTGGCTGTGCCAGGCTTCCCGCCAGGTTCCAGTCGGGGAGGCCAGGGAATGAATGTTTACATTAGAGAGCTCTGAGCGGTCCCCGGGGCTCACGCACCCTTGATCCCTGGGCCCTCCTCTTCAGGGCAACCTGGGGCACAGGAGTTACCTCGGTAAAGGCGAGGGGAAGGGCTCAGAGACCAGGGTCGGCGGGGAAGAGCGAAGAGGTGGAAGCTCGAGTGGCAGACAGAGATGACGAGGTCGGAGACCGGCGGAGCGGGGAGGGGCAGGAGGGGCGGAAGCGGAGACCCGGAGCCGCAGCGGCCGCCCCTGGCCTCCGGCGGGCTGTCCGGCCGGACAGGCTCGGGATCGAGGAACACTCGCCCCTGCCCGCTGCCTCCTTGGGTGGGAAGCCAGGCCGAGGCTGATGAGCCGCAGAACACAGCCGGCAGCCCCGAGGGGCGAGTTCCGCGGAAGGTGTGGGTTGGCCCCGGGCTGGGGGTCACTCACCGCAGGCCGGGGCGGTACACAGCGGCCATGGCACCTGGGCAGGGGCTGTGGGGCGGCACGAGAACGTGGCGGAGACGGGGAGAGATGGAAGACGGGGAAAGAGGGTGCTCGGCGAGGCGGGAGGGAGCCGGGGCT